CTAATTTGATTTTCATGATTCTCAACGATTCCCTTTTGTGTGTTAACCTCTCATGAGATTTTATCATCATTATCATTATCTTAAGGGTTAACAATTTAAATTAATTGCTCTTGTGAATTGATATATTTATATGCATACATTTGATCAGGTTCATTTATTAATTGTTTTATCTGACAATTGAAGTAATCAGTGTGTTGGCTTGATAATCAAATTGATCAGTCTTTCAATGGTTAATTGTGAACGTGAATCATTTATTTTAACACGAAGCCTATTTGATTAACATTGTTCATTGATTTCATCAAGGGATTGCTATTTGCAAACTAAATTAAATTGATTGGGGTTATAAATATATAACAAAAAAAACAAATTGAATTAAAATTACAAGATTAATCATTAATCTAATTGCATTTGAGTTTATAATTAAAACCTATCAATTAATTTTAGCATAATTAATATAATGTTTTCAGATTTAATTTACTTTTTATTGTTGTTGTGATAAAATGAGAAATGTTTCTTTATGTTGTTGATTATCTTGTGTTATTATCATGTTGATGTTAATGATTAATTGTAATGATTAACAGATTGTAATTGTTAGTAATGGATTAAGATTTAATCATGAAAGTCTGTCGGAGTTTGTTAAATATTAATACTTTGATTTTCCGTTTATTTTGTTAATCAGATTTTCCATGGAAAATTTTATGAGAATCAGGAGAAGAAGAGAGAGAGAGAGAGAGAGAGAGAGAGAGAGAGAGTTACAGTTATGATGAGGAGAATACTAAAGGATGAAGATGATGAGGATGCTACTTATGTATTATAATGCTACAGATGATTGGAAGTAAAAGGAAAGAGTAACTTATGAAAATCATTATAAGTACAGAGAAGATGAAATCAGTGTAAGAGAGAGAGAGGGGGATGATGATGAGGGAGGATGAGGATGAGGATGAGGATGAAAAATATGGTTTATAAATGGTAGTATTAGTGAGGGTGACTAATTGATTTAAGAAGATGAGTCAACCTTAAGAGGCAAAGTTTTGGTTTCTTTTTTTCTTCTTCTCTTTTATTAACATAGGGAGAGAAATGTTATTTGGAGATGAAGATGATGTTACTGGTGATGAGGATGAAGAGAGTGAGGAGGTGATTAGATGCGGACTGATGATGATGTTGATATAATACATTATGTTGATGGTGAGAGAGTGATAGTTTCCAATATTATCAAGTTTTTTATCTTCCTCATCTTTTCACATTATCTTTGTATATGTATTATTATATTTGAATGATGGGCCATTGATGGGCAACATATCCAACCGTTTGTTGGGTTTTATTGTTTAGAAATCTTGTTGAAGGGGATAAATAGGAGAGAGAGAGAGAGACATGAAGTAGGAGGAGGAGGTGGTGATGGTGGTGTAGGTGTGGTGATGAGGAAAAAAGTCTCCAAATATCTTTGGACTCGATTTCCTCTTCTTATGAACATTTAATGTCCTTTCGAGTGGGAGGAATAACAGATTAAGATTCATTCTTGTGAGTATGATGATAAAAATGGTTTGTCATCATTATTATCATCATCATCTTTCCTATGCTCAATTGAAATGATTAAATTAATGGCCTGGAATGAGAACGACCCGTTAACGGAAAGAAAATGGTTATTTCTTTTTCTCTCACCCTCTCTCTCTTCATTTTCATCTTCATCATCTTCTACTGGTAGTAATATTACATATGAAAAGAGATTTGTCCCAAAAGATGATAAGAGAGTGAGAAATGGAGGCGATGATGATGGAAGATGATATTCATCTAATCGATAACAGTTACATATCAATTTCATCGAGAGAGAAAAAAAATATGAAGTGAGAACGAGAGTTACAAATGATTTTCTCTCAGTTATCATCATCTTTCATTCATCTATCTTACTCTTTCTTTCTTATCGTCATTATCATCTTCCACACCACATCTTCCTTCCTGTTAACTATCTTTAATTACGCTATGTGACACTCTTGTCATTCAAGTTTGTTGTTCACTTCATCTTTTCTGTTTCCTGTTTTTTCATTCTCAAGGAAGAAACAATAACTTTGCCTTAGAACTTTTTTTCTTCTCCTCCTTCAACTTTTACATATTCAATTCCCTTTTGATTCTGATAATGAACTTTTCGATTATACAAAAGTTATCATGTTTTTATTTACAGAATCATTTGAATGATGATGATGACGATAATGAATCTGTAAGATAACCTTTTGGTATCTGTGTATGTAAATGATGAGGATGGATAATGAAAATTGATGGTAACCATGAGATATTATGGAAACTCCGATAGAATTTGAAATGAGGAGAAAAATGGTTACCATGAAAATCATCAGATTCTGATAAAGATGAGCGAAAATTCAACAAGATGATTTACTATTATCTTGATAGAAGATGAAATGAACAGAGAGAGAAAAAGTTTCGAGATGAACATTCAACGATTCTTGATAACATTTTCTATTGAGTTCACCTCATGAAGAAGAAAAAGTTAACCTTTAGCCTTGAGAATTGACCTTGTGAACTTTTCCTGTGATATTATTTCATTTTCAGAATGGAAATTGTTCACTGGGTATTTGTTCATGTTCAGAATAAACATTTACATGCACATCATCCTGGAAACTGTAAAATTGATGATGAAGATGATTATTATCACCATGATGATGATGATGATGATATTATTGTGTGAACCATTTCAACAAATTCAGATCACATATTATTGAGATGAAGTAAAAAAAAATAATTCTAACGGTACTTTTTTTTCTTGTTGATCAAATTTTGATGAAATTTTGTCAGTGATAACTTTTCATTTGCTTTATCATATTCAGAACTATTTTCATGGTGTATCTACATTACCATGAATTTGGAATTGAATTTATTTCACAGGTAATCAAATGATAATTATAATCAATTCCTTAATTCAAGCTTCTCATGAAGTATTAATGATTGAATATAATAATACTTTTATAGTCAAGTCAATTTATTTTCAAGTAAATTACTTTATCTCCTTTTCTCTGAGTTTTCATTGGAATACTTTTCAATAAGAATAATGTTATAATAGAAAGAATTTTTGGAAAAATTCTTTGTGAATATTAATTCTCCTCGTGAGAATCTATTCTAACTGAGTTGTTTCTCTTTCATGTTTCCATTTCCACCACCAACTTTCCCACCTTCCATTTGATTAATACTCATTGGACTGAACACAATTGATAGTAAAGTTGAGTTGATACAAATAAAAATCATGTTCCAACATTAGGGATCATCATGAAAGGTAAATGCTAACATAGATTAGGAAAGAGTGGGTTCCAAGGATGAGAACAGGGTGGGATGAGGTCACAGGGAGTTTTTTTAACCTCTCACTTGGTTATAAGTCAATGATCAGGGTAAGAACTTTTTCTTGATTCCTTTATATTTGCTCTCTCTCTCTCTCTCTCTCTCTCTCTCTCTACCTTCAATGTGAGTTGACTGTTTACTTTATATGAAATTAATCTTCCATCTTCACACCATCATCTTCATGTTTATCTTCATTTTAGAAGATGAAAAATTGAACTTTCAGAATGATCTTTTGTTGGGTCTAAAAATAACAAAGAAAAAAGTAAGAAAAAGTTCAGTTGGAATTCATTCTGAACTTTTCTCAATTTTCACCAGCAACAATCAATAACCTTTTTTCACTCACCCTCCGAGAGAAAGAGGGAGAGAGAGAGAGAGGAAAGTTCAACAATTCTCACCTCCCATCTCCCCTTATGAACTTTTCAATGAGTTTCAGAACTTTCTCTCTCCCTTGATATATTATCTTATAATTTTTTCTTCCAACTTTTCATCATTAGTTTCAACTTCTTTCTCCCTGATAATTGTAATCGTATGTAAAAAAGATAATGATGTAATATAATCATGGTAATGATTCTGAATATAAAAAAAGTTCCAATGATAATGTTACATGATAAGATGAAAATGAATTGACTTTTTGTTTACTCTTTTATGGATCTCACTGTATATTCATTTGCCACTTAAGTGTTATTATTATGATCACAATGGGATTGGTAGAGTAGTAGGAAGGGAGGGATAGCTAGTGAAAAAAAATTCTGCAGAAAAAGAGGGAAAAAAAGAGAGAAATCATTTTTATTTCCTTCCATTGAATTGTATGAATTTCTTTTCAATTTCATGTCATCATCAACTCGTTGAAAATAAAGTTTATCAATTGATGATAATGAATTAAATGGCTGCTTAAAATAAGATTAATTTCATTCACAACAATCTAACTCTTGATTGTGATGATTGATTATCGTAAACAAAGTAACTTGAAACTCCAATTCCATCTCAATATACAATCAATTCATCAAGTTTCTTTCATCTCTCTCATTATTTTATCGTTATTCAGTCAATTTGAGAGAGAAAAAAGTTTCGAAAAGAAAAAAAAAATTCCAAAACTAGAATTGTCTTAGAACTTTTTTTTTTACTTTAGAACTTTTTTCTCTCTCGAAATTTATTGTACTTTGTAAGTCAATACAATTAAATTCATTGTTATCATTATGATTGTTATTAATTTGATTATCGGCAAAATCTTCACAATGATTATCATCATCATGATGAATTATAAGTCCAATGATGATAAGAGATGATGATTATTCCTCCCAAGAGGATTAGTCTCTTTTTTTTTAATAAAAACTTTTCTCTTTATTATCGATAATGTTATTATCGATTCTTGGATCTTAGAACTTATTTTCTTGTCTTCTTCTTGTCATCATCTTCATCTTCATCGTGTCCATGTTTGTTTTTTCATATAATCAGTTATCATTTGATAATAATATCAAATAATAATGATGATAATAAACGATAAATCATCTGACTTTTTTTTCAGTTACGCCTAAAGGACTAACCATGGACACGAAATGATTAAAGTTGATTGTTGTTTGTTAGGATATTATTTTGAGTTTCACTTTTTCCTTGGACATTATCATCATTATTATTAAATTGTTGTTATCTCGTCTATCTGTTGTTTGTATCTCTCCTCATGTTATTATGATTAAATGGATTACATTAGATTAAAAGTGAATCATAACAATCAGTGATTTTGCTTTCTTTTCAGATCATCTTCTAATGAGTCATTGATTTGATTTGCTGTTGTCTCTAAATTGTTGTAAACTTGTTGGGTCACAATTAGAAATTGTAATATAATGTATAACTTGATTTGTGGTTTTCCATCTTCTTTCAAATTAGATTGAAATTAAATGTAAATCACAGCCATTTGACTCACTATTGTTGAGTAATTTTACTTGTTATCACTATTTAAGTTTCACTAATTCAATTAGTGTAATGATGATGATGGTGGTGATTTATGAGAATTAGAGATTTTTTTTTCTTTGCTTGTTTCCTTGGACTTGTGGGTGACAATTTATTCCTTTAATTCTTGAATATGAGTGAGAATTGTTTGCTTCATAACATAAAGAACAGATTTACATCCTTCGATTGCCGCATCCATAACATCAATTAAATTATCTAAATGAATTTTTCCACTTGATTCCATTGAAAGTATCTGTTTATCCTTGGGTAACATGGCTACTGTCAGGGTAGGTGTATTATTTGATGATTCTTCAATTCCATTTACATCAGTAATCGGTTGATTATCAATGAATCCAGCACTACAGGCACAGACAATATCTTTGATTGGGATACCAGCATGAATAACAGCTAATGAAGCAGCATTGACACAAGCAGCGTAATCACTTCCATCTGATTGAATAACCTCTGCAATAAACATATAGAAATTAGATTTGTTAGAAAAGAATATACGAAGAAACAAGTAATTAGAACAAAGAATTTACTAAATTTTCTTACCTAAATAAATGTCAACTTGTGAATGTGGATACAGTTCAGTCAAAATGGCGGAATCAAAAATCTGAGTTAAATTGTTACTTATCTCTATTGACCGGTAATCACCTTTGGGTAAATTTTTCCTCGTTGTCTTACTAAATGTGGACATGTTGTACTTACAGTTAATCACAGCTTTCTCTGGATTAACTTTACTTCTACCACGGGTATCATGAGGCCCATAAACTGTGGCCAAAACTTGGGTATTTCCGATCTTAAAATAAGCCGATCCATCCGCTTGTTCAAAAACACCAACACGACAAACCAAGTGACGAGTTTCACTTGGCTTTCGACCATCAATTCTAAATGGTGTCTTACAACTAGTAGATTGTAACAATACTCGTGTCTCCATAATAAAATAAAATTAATTTTATAAAACTACAAAGAATTGATAAACAATAAAATTAATCAACAAAATAAGAAATTGAGAGAAAAACAATCAACACAATCACATGGATTCGTTTCTTTAATCGAATCACTGGCTCCATCTATTGTCGAATTTTCCAGTTTTTTAATTATTCTAAATTCTAATTTCTTTTGGTTGATTTTAATTTGGAAATTAAGGTTTTTCTTCACTGATTAGGTTGTTTGATTGGGAAGAGTAATTAACAGTTATTTAGATGAAGTAAATATAGTTAATTGTTGTCATCAAAAGGTGAAGAGCTTTTGGTTTGCCGCCGAAATTTTTGGCTCCAATTTGAAAGGAAAAAAAATCGTTTGTTTTGATTTGGTTTTCACTTTTTTCTTTTCCTTTTTAATTGTTTTTTCATCATTTCTTTTAATTAGTTGATTGTTTTTCTTTTCAATTGAATCTATCGTTGAATCTGTGGTGTGTTTATGATCCCTTGGAATAAGAGTTAATTGTGGAATCTCAAGAAATTGTAATCCATATTAATTTCTTGTGGTGTACTAATAGTAAGTAGGATTTCTGGTAATTTTGTTTTTCTTTCAATTTTTGGGCCTACAATTAATTATGGTGTTTTTTTGTTGTTGTTGTTTGTGTTTAATTGTTGTTTTGTTTTGATTGTTGGAATTTAGGTTTTATCTTAAATCGACTGCTAATCAGAATGGCCAGACCATCTCTTGGTTCAGCTGCAAGTGAAAGTTTACTTGATGTTTTAATCCGTGTCAATGCTAATCAAAGGATAAACCATGGAACCGATAATGGAATCAATTTACAATTAGATCAGATTGTTGATAAATTTGGACTTTATCTGATTGATTTTTCCACCAACAAATCTTGCGATATCAATAGTTACATTTACCGTCTCTGTGTTGAGGCTTGTAAAGTATCACAAGAAAATCCTAGACAAATACAAGCTTTAACTCAATCTAAAAGTAAACACTCATTGATCATATTTGATGGTCTTAATTGTTTCAATTACATTCAATTTAAAACTCTACTACCAGATGATAGTATCATGGATAATATATCAATAGTTCATGAGGCTGATCCTTTCAATTTATTAGGTAGGTATTGTTTTTAATTCCAAGAGATATAAATAACTTTCCAAATGATTTGATTTTCCAGTGGAAAAATGATTAATTCAGTTAATTGTTAATCTATACCAGTGAAATTATTCACTAGGTGTGAGTAAAGTGCAAATTGGGAGCAAATCAAGTCAATAATAGTTACTAATTATCTTCATTACCCCAAACAATTAACCTTTCCAAAGTAAAAAGATATTCATCAGTTAATTAAGTTAATCAAATTCTTTCTAATCATTTAATCATTTTCTTTTCTTTTCTTTTCTCTTGACAGTTACAATTTATCGCTATTTCTCAGAACAAGCAGCTCTTAATGTCCATCTTAAATTGGTCATAATCTATTGTGATGATGTTTACATAGCTGATTTAATGCAATTTCTAATTAGACGAAAATTAAGTCTCCATGTTATCCTGATTTCGTATAATGTTTCAAGTATTTATTCAAAAGGTTTTTACCATGGGGAAGTTCAGACAATTGAATTTCTGACAATCGATTCAACCAGTGAAAATATTTGTGTCAAGAAAACATTCAAAGGAAAAGTTAAAGCAGTAGCCAGTTTTAATAATCCAATTGTCCATCACAGGAAAACAATCAGTAATGTTAAACTAATTTAAAAGAACAAGAAAGAAGGAAACAAAATTAGAATCAACTAATTGTTTCATTCCAATATCATCATAACTCCCGCCAAAGAAAAAAAAAATGTTTCTAACATTCAACCCTCGAAGTTGTTTATTGTTGCTTGATTCAATTTAGACACTTGAAAGATACACAAACAATTTACCACTCATTTCTTAATTGTGGTAATCACTGTACCTCATCAATCTATCAGCACAATCAATTAATCTCCTGATTGACATTATCCACGTTGTATATTAACTCATCATTTCATCAACCTAAATACTATCAAAGCAGATCAGCTGATTGTATTTTGCTTTTTTCTTCAAGTTTAGACTAAGGACATTTCATCATCTTTTTTCATTCTAATTTTTGTAATCTTTGTTCATTTCCTTTTCTATCTAATCAATTCTTTATTCAGTGTGACCAATTAAGTCAATTTGTGGAGATCAATTATGTTACGAACTACATGTTGTTTAATTACTGGCGCTAATCGTGGTATTGGTCTGGAATTTGTTAGACAGATAATTAATCTTAATCCAAAGCCAATAAATGTTATTGCTACTTGTCGTAATCCCGATAAAGCCGAGGTAATTATGATAATTGTTCAATTTTCATTTCTAAATTTAGCCTTGATTTTTAATCCTGAAAATTTCCTTAAGATAATTTAATCTGATTGTTTTGTTTTGTTTTGTTATTTTGCTCTCTCTCTCTCCAGGAATTAAGGAAACTCAAATCATCTTCAACTAATCTTCATATTGTTCAACTTGATGTTAGAGATTTTCCCAATTACGATAAATTTTATTCTCAGGTCAACTCAATTGTCGGCTCAAATGGATTGGATTTATTGATCAACAATGCAGGAATTGCACAATTTAAAACTCTTAATCAAGTTACTCCCACTGATATGTTGGAAAGCTACGAGGTTAATACAGTCGCACCCTTGCTGCTCACGAAGACATTTTTACCTTTACTCAAATCATCAGGTAAAGATGAAGGATCGACCAAATTAATTGTCAACATGGGAACAACGGTAGCAAGTATCGAGCAAAACAATCAGGGCGGAATGTACCCTTACCGTGCAAGTAAAGTGGCCTTAAACATGATCTCCCGAAGTGTCGCAACCGACCTGGCCAAAGAGGGAATCCTTTGTGTCTCCATAAACCCAGGGTGGGTCAAGACGGACATGGGTGGGAAAAAGGCTCCAATGGCTGTTGACCAAAGTGTCACCAAAATGTTGAAAACTTTGTCACTCGTTGATAAAAATTCAAATGGTAAAATGATTAACTTTGATGGTAAAATAATTCCCTGGTAAACAAATTAAATCATTCATTCTTGATGATGATTATCATAACTATTTTGCCCTTCATCTGGAAATTAGTTAATTAGTGCGTATTAGTTTCATCGCTTACAATAAATCAACTTTGTTTTTTTTTCATTATTGTAAAATGATTACACTAATTGTTACAATTACAATGTTTCAATTTATGATTGGTAATCGTTTGCCTTTAATCTCTCTTTCTGATCTCTTGTAATTAAAATCGATTCTTACCTGAATTAACTTTTACAATTTCCATTTTAATTAAAGGAAAACTTCATCATAGGATTTTGCATAGATTAATTATTTATCTCGATTAGCGATACAATTAGTTAATCATTAATTACTCCCAATTGTTATCAGTACTTTTACTACTCACCATAATCAAGGATATAAAAAGAGAGTAAATTGTTAACAAATGAATGAATCAATTTTAATTCTGTTTTATAGTTGATTTAGTTGGTTAATTGTCATCAAAATGCTTGAAGTTTCAACTGTTCTTGTTACTGGTGCTAATCGAGGCCTTGGTTTTGAATTTGTCCGTCAATTGGCTTCAGCTGAGCCACGAATTGATCATATTATTGCCGCTTGTCGTAATCCAGAAGAGGCTGACGTAAGTTAATTGTAATTTGAATTTCCATTGAAAATTTAAGCTTATTTCCATTTTCATGTTTTCTTTGTCAACAGAATTTAAAGTCTCTCGTTGAAAAAAATGACAATGTTCACATTTTGAAACTCGATGTTGTTGATTATGATTCTCATGAAGCTTTTGTCACTGAAGTTGATAAGATTGTCGGTGATAAAGGTTTGATATTTTGATTAACAATGCTGGAATCATGATAATAACTGATGTTGATAAGGTGACACCGAAAGAATTCATGAAAAATTATGAAATCAATGCTGTGGGTCCATACATGTTAACCAGATCATTAGCACCTCTCATTAAAAAATCCCATCGAAAGTTAATCGTTGCCATTTCATCAGGAGCTGGAAGTATAACTCGGACTAATGCTCGTCTAGGAGGTTTTCCAGCTTACAAAGCAAGCAAGGTAATTATGATACAATCATTAATCCATGTAAAGAGTGAGCACTTAACAAGTTAAGGTGTTTGTTGTAGCTTAATCTTAACTAAAAATGAAAATAAGGTTGACAAAAATGCACAGATTAAGCTACATTAGCTTCCATTTTTTGACACATGAGATGAACAATTGACTGTGAAAACGTCAAGAATCAATTGTGATTAGCAACAAGTAAACTTATCATTTGATATTTGATGTTTCCCATTTGTTAGGCTGCAATGAACATGTTAACCAGAACCTATGGAGATCACCTTAAGGCCGACGGAGTTACAAGTATAATCTTCTGTCCTGGTTGGTGTAAAACTGACCTTGGTGGACCCAATGCCATGTATGAACCCGATTTCAGCGTTTCCAATATGATTAAAAACATTTCCACTCTAACACCAGAATCAGATGGAACTTTCATCAACTTTGAGGGTAAACCGATGCCCTTTTAACTGTCGGATAAAGTTGGATGAGTAGACGACAGTATTAATCTAATAAAAAAATTTCCGTTTTGGATCGGCAAAAGTGACTACATAAATTAGAGATTGAAAATAAGAGAATAGCCTCTTATTCAAACTCAAACTTAAACTTCAATTTTTTATTGTTTCAAATTCATAAAATCAACATCAAAGGAAACAACGATGTGAAAGTGAACATTAGTGATACAGCCTACTGAAATTAATTCGTGGCAATAAGATAATTATAGTAAATCGTGTATCGAAAATTGGTCCATTATTGAGCCCTCAAGTTCTTGTTGATGTTTAGATAATTTGTCTGAGGAGCTGTACCATCAGAGTACGTACAGCGAACTGCGAATCGAACATTCGGAAACGGTTTTACATCTTTGACCAACACACTGAAAATAACCTTGTTCTCGGACTCAGGTCGAGAACTATGGATAACAGAATCTACAGAAGGATAGAAAGATACATGTTAATTCAAGATTAAAAATACAGTCGGAGAAAATGAGTTCGACGGTTGTTTTATATCATTCGCTCAGGCAAAAATGATTTATCAATCAAATCAAAGTTAAATTTGAATCTCTTGATTATCATTGATCAGTTGTTGTTATCGCTCTTTCTGAGCAAATAATTTTAAAATACCGTCAAACTCATTTTCAAGTTATTAATTATTGAATGATTTCACTGCAAATTACTTACAATCGAAAGCTGAGCTCCAGTATAATTTACCATTGACTTCGCGTTGACTTTGCAGTGACAAACTACACTCTTCTATTTGTTTTGGTCCAGTTTCTGTAGCGTTTAAATTGAGTAAAACGAAATCTTCCCGATCTTCAACATAATGATAATTTAGCACGATTGAACTATCGGCTTTATCATCAACAGGCTTAGCAGCTAAAATAGAAGCACATTGACCGTTGTTGACGATCAACACCATGAGAAGAGAGAAGGTAACAAGATGAGTAAAATTCATTTTACTTTGATTGTTGTTGAGTTGATTAACTTAATACGAATGATGAATTCAAGATGAATCAATTCCATTAGCTCTTGTATGCTTTTATATAATCAGTCTGAGTCATTTTTACCCATTCGTTGAAATCATCAAGTACCGATAATCTTTCATTAATTGAAGCTTCTTGTTATTGTTTCAATTATCTTGCCTCCTACTCTAACATCGTAATTAGTACAATTTAAGATATTATTTTAGTCCCATTAGATTGCTAACCAGATCTGTAACTGTAGAAATGCATCCAGATAACGATTCCAAAGCTTTGCTACTGTTTAATGAACGTTTTCTTTACTATTGAAGGAATCGTTGAGAGCATTTTGAAGACGATGAATAATATTAATCGTTAGATGACTTAAGGAAGATTAATCGGTTATAAGGTCAATTTTTGATCGGAAAATAGACAGAAAATGCTTCATTGACATTTATAGCTATTTAGAGCGATATTTATTTGGTTATTGGATTGAATAACCATGAGAATTAATGGAGATTTAAAACTTTCTGGATCAGAATTTCTGATCAATATTGAATTTTTGGTAAAACGATACGAGTGTTTGTCAGCTCGACATTTTCACTTAAAGCTAATTTTTTTTTTCGACTTAAAGTTCAGCTACATATTGCAATGGACTTAATTGTTATATTGATTGTGGTTTTTTAAATTAGGTTAGGTTAGGTCTTGACTATTAAGGGTCATTATGGTCAAAGGATGGCCCGGAGGGCCTGAGACAATCAAACCGAACTGCAAGACGAAAAAAAAAATTAGCTGAAAATTGAATATGTTGAGCTGAAAAACACTCTTATCGTCTTACCCAATATTGTTCCAAAGAAAATTAAACGAAAATTACTGGAATAGATTTTCGAAACAATTAAAACTTTAAATGAAATTAAAAAAAAAATTTCGAAAATGAGAAAAGTATCAGATCCAAATATCGGATTAGATTCTCTTGGATCCGATCAACAGATGTTCTTTGCATGTGGTTAGTTACTTCTTGTGGTTGATTGTTTTTAATTAGTTGGTTTAATTGTTAATCGGTTACTGATAAATTAATCATGGGTAAAAAAGGTGACCAAGAGAAGAAAGTTAGAAGAATAACTTTTCTCAATGGACAATCGGATAAAGTTGTTTCTGGTTTAAAACCTTCAGATGGAAAAGAAATGATCAATTTTTTTTCCAATCTAATTGTTAATCATCCTGAACTTACTTGTATTGCTAAAAGGTTTGTATGGATAAAAATTTTATTCTATTAGTTGTTATTGATAATTTTCATTCTCTTTTTACAGTGTAAAGAAAAAGGAAAAAGGAAAAGCCAAAGAAAAAGAGCAGGAAGAAAAATCTAAAGAAAAAGAAATTGAAATTGAAATTGAAGAACCAATTTTTACTATTGGTGAGGATAAAGAATCGACTGATCGAGTTAATTTGCCTATTCCTAAGCCTAGAAATCCACTTAGAGATGAAATTGTTTTCGGTTTAACTGAGATAATCAAGAAAATTCAAAAAAAACAGTTAATCGGTGTTGTTGCTTGTGATCCATTGACGGTTCATATTCAAGCGACATTATATGATCTTTGTAAAGAGTTTAATGTTCCCTTTCTATTATCCAAGAATCTTAATCAAATTGGTGATATTTTGAAAATGTCTAAATTATCCTGTTATGCTTTCACCGAGAAAGTAAAAGAATCAACCTCTTTGTGCCATTCGTTGTTTAAAATATTCCTCCAACAACCAGGATTATCTTTTAGTGATAAAAGTGAATTAAATCCGTGTTTACATTCAAACACTGAAGATATGGAAATAGTTGATACTTATAAGCCAGAATTTGTGTTTGACTTTCCACCAGAAGATAATTTTTATATTCCAAGAGAGGAAATTGATTTACCAACATCAACAACAAATCTCGATGAAAGTGAAAAGAAAATGGATGATTTTATCAACATAGACCATCAAGTTAACCATTTTCCTCCTCGATTTTATTTCCGTGACATTCAATTAATCCTTCCTTGGACTGGAGATGTTGAAATGAGCGAAAAGAAATTACAGAAAATTGGAAAATCTTTGTTCACAGTTAAATCATCATTAACAAAAGATGAATATCAATTAGATGAAGAGATTCCCTTCTGTGAACCAAAGACAACAGTCTTACCATCATCTGGTCGAAAAAAAGAGAAGAGAAAAAAGTTCAAAAAAATCAAACAAGCTCCAAGAAAAAAGAAATCTAATAAATAAATTTGAAAATTTATTCTCTAAACAATTGATTTTATTTTCGAAAAAAAAATTATTCCAAAATCTATTTGAATATCGCGCTTTTCTTTTGAAGAGAAAACATCTCGTTACCATAGTTACTCTTTACTATCGATGAGAAAGAAAATTTTTAAATTTCATTTCCAATTGTTCGTCTAAATTGTTCCGTTAATTGTGAAGCTTTTCAATATTGATTGTTAACTATTTCGAGGTTAAATGATTTCCAACAACAGGTAAGTCATTTGGTCTTTACTTGGTTTCATTTTAATTCTTCTTTTTCTAATAATTTCTCTTAGATTTATATTGTGATTCAATCAACTCATTTTCTTGGTACCGCTTTTTTTGTTTTTGTTTTCATCGGTGGTTAAGGTTAATTTAATCGCTTTGATTATTTTGTTGTCATCTCTTGGTTTACATTTTATTTGAGTGCAAAAGGATTTTGGATAGAGGTTACTCCGGTTAAGCTTTTTACTGAGGTGTGATGGAAGGCTCAGTTAGAAGGAAAATTTTATTCTCATCTATTTGTGCTATTTGTCATGAAAATGGTTTCGCTTATGCTGAAAGACCTGCAGTTGAAACTTTACTGGAAATGTTGCAATCACTTATTTGTGAAATTGGACGAACAAGCCGCCAATACTGTGAACATGGTGGACGAACCGAGCCCAATGTTGCCGATATTGATATAGCACTTGTTTGCCTTGGTATTAGGTCAGACGGTATTCCTGATTATGCTAAAAGATCAGAACGGATTGTGTTACCACCGCCAGGGAAAGCACCTAGTCAACCAATGCCTAAAATATTACAAGCGGGTGATAAGAAACCACTGCCACCTTATATTCCAGATTATTTTCCATCATTTCCAGGTAATCATCGTTTCTTGGAAAGTTGTTGAGAAAAAATTCCGATTGTGCTCATAATTTTTACGCGGGAAATCATTTTTACTCTCAGCTATTTTTATCGGTTTGGCTTTAAGCTAATTGAATTGGTCATTCACAGGTTAAATTACTAATGTATCTCTTTTTCTCTGCCTTATATTCAACAGATGCTCATGCTTATATTAGGACGCCAACATATAAACAACCGGTGACTGAGTATGAAGCAATTAGAGAGAAATCGGCTACTCAAAAGCGAGATGTTGAAAGAGCGTTAACTAGATTTATGGCTAAAACCGGAGAAAATGCAGTATCTCATTCACTTTTTCCCGATGAACAATTATCTAATCTTTATCCATTAATTGAACCTAAATTAAAATCAAACGTTTATCTAGAAGCTCTTTTACCAAAAGATCAGATATTTGAGGATGAAGATGAAGACACAACGGAAGATAAAGAATCACCAAGAAAATCGTCTCTTAACAAACCATCAACTTCTGGTGAAGCTCAAGGAGGTGAAACGGAAGCTAATTCAGCAAATGCTACAAGTGAAAATCCTCCACAAGAAGCAGAAGTTCTTGACAATCCATATTTAAGAGAACCCAAGTTGTACAATGCTTCGTCTTCTTGACCAAACTAAATCAACTTGAAACATTTGAGAAAATGTGTTTTTTTCTTCTATTTCTCTTCATGCCTTAATAACTGAACCATTTTGTAAAATTTACGGTTACACAATTCTTAAGATCACCTTATAAAGAACTAAATGAGTCCATTTCTACACAATTAAAATCCTCTGATAGTTGTGACCAGTCAAATTTTTGATTCCATAACTTGAATTAAATCATTCGTTGCATAAATTCGTGTTTGAATGGAGATAATCAATATTTTGTTAATGAAATTGATTCATATTTACATGAATCTTGTCGTGAGAGATTCAATAGTCGTTGATTTGTTTAGCTCTCTAGTAATAGAGTTGTTAACAATATAAATCCCAACTATTCAATTCGATTTAATCTAATTTAACGATTGGAGCTTTTGACTTTTCTTTGGTACTTTTAGTTAATTGGGCTACTTTTCGAGGTTCTTTCACTTTTGTTTCAGGACAAATCATCTCTGTCCAAGATACTGGAACCATTAAAATACCTGAAAATTGGAGTTAAACCACAGAAATTAGTTTGAATTGTTAGTATAAGAGTTAATTAGTGATTAACATTTGAAAGTATTACCATTTTCACTTGCAGTAACAACACCAAACTCATTAGAAGCTGTTGTCAAGAGATAACCAAAATCGGAAAGACCAATAATTTTACATATAATTAAATCTCCAGGTCGAAAACAGGAATACAAATCGACATTATCTTTATCTGTTTCACGAACATCCTCTTTTCTAATAATCGCTTTGAAGGGTCTTTTCAACATAACATCAGCTATACATTGAATTAAACATTTACATTGAGTTGAAGTGACTTTATCTATTTGACATGTAACAATATCACCAGTCAAAGGGACTTTCCGAGTGATACCACCACAAGAAACAACTTCAACAATATTCTACACCAAAATGAGAAAAGACAAGAAAAGAAGGAAAAACAAAATCGAAAATAAACAAAAAATGAAACAATTAAAAAGGAAAAAAAACAAAACAAAAGAAAATAAAAGAAAAGAAAAATTAACAAACCATTTCTTCATTTTGGTTAACATTAACTTTACCAGCAAGAGCAGCATAAATATAAGATCCTTTGATAAACGTTCCTCTACCACCTAGATTTTTCTCATCGGCGACACTCAATCGATCACCTTGATAGAAAATAAAGAAGAAACAACAATCAATTTAAAAATAAAAAGCAAAAGAATTAAACCAAATTAACTAACCTGGAACACAAAACATTTTAGAAAAAAATTGTTTTCTTTTCTCAAATGGAAAACCAGACATGAGAATCACGTGATTCTATCGATACATCGATTGTTGTTCCAATCAAATTAACGGCGAAAATTCAAAAACTGTTTACATTTTAATTTCTCTTTTTTTTGTCAACTTTTCTTTCTTTTCTTATTTATTTTTAATTGTTTTTTAATTTTCTCTCATTTAAATAATGACTGATTCGTATGATTCAATTGTGTCCGATGCTGCAGAATTTTGTTCCAAGCTGGAAAATGTCAGGGAAAATCTTCTTCCACCAAAGTTTCTCAGCAAGAGCAAGAATACAATGCAACATGAAATTGAACAAAGTGAGTAAACAATTTAATTTGATTTAGAATTTTTTTTTCTTCTCATTTCAATCAACAATTAATGTATTTTGCGATTTGTGATTAATTTACTCTAGTTTTCTCTTTGTTTCTGTCTCTTGTGATTTCTTTGTTTGGTTTTCTAAATGGTAGAGATGAGAGATGAAGTTAAAACTCTTAAATCATTACGAGATGAATGTACAAAATTGGAGAAAGAGATTAAAGTTAAACAGGACAGTGTCTCACAATATAGTAAATCTTATGAACAATTAGAGAATCGGATTGTTCGATCAACGGAAAAATATGAGGAGAAGGTTAAACAAGAGCAGGCGAGAAAAGCTCTCATCTCATCTGTTTTTAATTTCCTTGGAAATGTTGGTCTTGATTTTCAAGTGATTAACTTGGAAAATGAATCACCCGATTCTTATATTGGAACTTATAAAGTTAGTTTATCACAAGTCGATCCTGTTGATCCTGATAAGTTTTACAGTATTACCTTTAAATCCAGTTTGGTTGAAATTAATAGTAAGTATATTGATTATTATGCAAAAATTTCAAAGTGTTTAATTGGTTTTGGTTCATTTTTTCTCATACAATTTTCTTATATAGTTTTGGAAACTGATTTCAAAGATCTGGAAGAGGAATTTAAAAAAATCGAAGAGTTTATCAACAGTAATCTTAAATCGGGACAAATTAACTTGATCGGTTTTCTGGTTAGAGTTCGTAAACTAATAATCAATCGGCTTCAATCATAATTTCCAATATTTTCCACGACTCAAAATGTTTCATCTTTGTAACTTTTCTTCCGGTTTAATGCTGAGCTGGGAGATAATTTTTTCTTTTAAAGTGATAAAGTTGTCTATATATATATGAATATCCCTTCAGAGGCGATTATTCAACTTTTCAGTGTTTCAATATAGTAAAATGTAAAAAAATATAAGAGAAAATAAAAAAATTCTCCCTCTCGATTACTCTGTATCTGATTCCTCTTTGTAATTTGGTTGAGATAACCAAATTATTGGTGAAGGTGATCGGTCATTCTGAGTATCTGGGAATAAAGAATCGGCTACCGGTGCTTTTTGCTGTGCTTTTGGTCTGGACTCCGATTCCAAGTCGTCATCGTCAATTATTGTCGAAGAATCGACTTCAGGAAATCGATTTGTCTTGTTTATAGTTGGTCGTCCTTTTCTTTTATTTGGAGTAGCTTTAGTACCGGCAGAATCTCTGGTAGTAGATGTTGGCCTTTTACGACCTTTTCCTCGGCTGGTTGATTGAGTGGGTCTATTAAAATCGGCTCTCCTCAAGAGATCCAATTCGTCTTTCAGTTGATCGATTTTCCTTCTGAGATCTCTCCCTTCGGCATCATAAAATTCCCGTGTTTGCATCAATTTCTGGGTCGACTTTTCCGTTCCACTTCCATCTCTTCTTTGGCTTTTTCAATCCTCTCCAAGAATCTTTCTTTTAAAGCTTTTTTATGATTTTCATGGTCATTCTTACAGTCCGATAACCTTTTCCTCAACTGGTCAATGGCGTAATTTTGATCGTCAATATATTTCTGGGCTTCTTTCAGGTTAAACGAAAGTTTTTGGATTGTACTTTGATGTGTTTCCACTGATTTAGATCTATCATCAATCGATGATTTAGTCGTAGCTAATTGTTTGTTCAGGCTCTCCACTTGTTTATTTAAATCATCAATGACGTTCTTTTGTCCAGAAATTATTTTTTCGTTTGCTAAGAAAGTAGCTTCATGAGATAGATTTTCTTTCTTAACCTCTTCGGTATATTGAATTTTCGCTTTAACAATTTCATCTTTCACCTTATTCAAACACTTATAAAGTCGATTTTCCTTTAAGAAAAAAAAAGAGAATAGAACAAACATAAACTTAAATTAGAAGAACTTATGTAAAAAAAGACAAATTAAACGACAAGAGAAAAAGACACCAACACAATCAATGTGACGACACAATCAAGTAAATCAACCAAATGAAAGTGAATCCACTTACCGATTTAAGATTCAATATGGTGGCAATCAACTGTTTACCCGAAGGTTGATTAACAGTTTCACTAGAATTATTCACCATGATGATGGAGATTATTTAGTTAATCGACTAGAATTAACTGTTGCAACTAAACAAGAGACAATCAACAATTGATTCACTTTTCTTTCTCACTACAACTATTCAAATGATCGTTCCAATCTTCTCGTTACCAAATTCTCATATCAAGCAATCAATTCTCTTAATTAACAATAATTTGCCCGAATAAAAATTAAAAGAGACACAAAGTAATCAAAACAAAAGATGAAGACCAAATGAGGAACAAAACAAAAGTGACCGATCTTTTTCTCTGTCGCACTAACAGTTGGAACGAAGAAAGAGTTTAGAATAGAATTTTTTTCTCTTTCTTTTTGTTCGCTTGGAAACTCTAACCTTTTCCTCTTTGCAATTATAAGCTTCCAATTTAATTTAATTAGAATCAAATGATTACATTTAATTTTTTGTTCTTTTTTGAATCAATTCTACTAATTAAGTTCTCTGCTGGACTGATTAACAATTAATCTTCAAATGGGATTAAAAGAGGTAAGTGAAAATCTTTCATTTTGATCATCTTATTGTTTGTTTCTGTTTCAACATTTTATTGTTAAAATTGTGACTACAGAAAGTGACTGGTCTTTCAATTAAATTATCGCAATTAAATCAAAGGTTAAGTGAAAATCTAATCTAATTGTAAGTACAATTGAGTGCTATAAGATTTGGAGAATCACTAATCAGTAATTAACTAATTGTTACAAAATATTCATGTAAATGTGTTAAACATTTCATGTTAAAATGAATTTGGTTATATTTTTGAATGAATAATTAAAAATTCATTTTTTCTCTCATTTGGATCAGTTAAATTTTCCATAATTAACTAATGATTATTAGAAGAAAAAAGCTTTACCATCTAAGAGAATTGAATGAACCGGGGTTTCTTTAGAAAAGTGCAAACTCGGTTCATGTTGAAAGTTATTCTCTCAACAAGTTGTCATGTAAACTTGTTTTCTTTTTTTAAAACTGATCTTTGATTCTTGTTGATTTTCTATGTGATTAGAATTGATTGTCTAAGTTATTCATTAGTAGATTAATTGTTTGCCTTTTCATTTGAGTGAAACAAAATTCTTATTCTATTTTATTTCTCCTCTTCTCTGTTTGGTTTCTATCAAAATGATCAACACAGGGTAAGTATTATTTTTGTTTTTCTATTCCTATTTCCTTCAAGGTAATTGTTTAATTTGATTTTTGGGATTTTTCTAATCACTGTTTCACCTTTTTCTTCTTGTTACAGTAAATTAGCTGGTCGTACAGCTTTTATCACTGGTGCCAGTAGAGGTATTGGTAAAGCTATTGCTCTTAAATTGGCCAAAGATGGTTGTAATGTAGCGATTGCTGCTAAAACGGTTGATCCCCATCCTAAATTACCAGGAACCATTTATACTGCTGCTAAAGAAGGTAATTTGTTTATTCTGTCAATGCAATCATGTTCCCTTTTTATTCAGTTTTAATATGGTTTGTTTCTTATTTCTCCTTTCTCACATTTTACATTGAACAGTTGAGGAAGCTGGTGGTAAATGTTTACCTCTTCAAGTTGACATTAGATATGAGGATCAAGTCAAAGATGCCATTGAAAAGACTGTTGCTAAGTTTGGTGGACTTGATATTCTCATCAACAATGCCAGTGCAATCAATTTAACCCCAACAGAAGTGACCGATATGAAAAGATATGATCTAATGCATTCTATTAATACTCGGGGTACCTTTGTTACCTCTAAAACGGCTATTCCACATCTAAAGAAATCCAATCATGCTCACATCTTGAATTTGAGTCCACCTTTGGTAATGAATTCACGATGGTTCAAACCTCATGTTGCATATACTATGGCCAAGTATGGAATGTCAATGTGTGTCCTAGGAATGTCGGAAGAATTTCGAGACGATAAGATTGCCGTTAACGCTTTGTGGCCTAGAACTGCTATTTGGACAGCGGCTATGAATGTGATTACCGAAGGACCTGAAGTGAAAAAAATTTGCAGAAAACCGGATATTCTTGCTGATGCTGCTTATGGTATTTTAACCAAATCACCTGAACAATTTACAGGTCAATTTGTTGTTGATGAAACTTTCCTTAAACAAGAAGGTGTCACCAATTTTGATCAATACGCTGAGGTTCCCGGTGAAAAGTTAATGTTGGACTTTTTCTTACCCGATGAATATTATGAGGGTGAAGATATTCCTGAAAATTTTGGTGATCAGGCTAAACCATCAGCCACCAGTGGAGTCTTTAAGGTGGATAAGGTTTTCAATGGGATTAAAAATTTACTTGATGACAATTTAAAGAGTCAAATTAATGCTCTTCTATTTTTCCAAATATCTGGTAAAAATTGGATCGTTGATGCTCATGAGAGTAGACCAATTGTCGTCAATCAAAATGATAATCCTTCAGGAAATCCCGATGTTACCCTTATCACCGATGAAGATACTTTCTACAAAATGGCCAAAGGTGATATCAAGGCAACAAACGCTTTTATGGCCGGTAAACTAAAGATCAAGGGAAACATTTCGGTAGCCATGAAACTAGAGAAATTGTTTGTCCAAATCAAAGCAAAACTTTGATTATTCTCTAAACGTTATATTCATCTTCCTAATCAATCCAATTATTATCAATTATTAATGTGAACACAGATGAAAATTGTAACCTTAACAAAAATTATTTTATAAACATTTTTTCAACAATTATAATACATTTTGTACTAAAAAGTTTAATTGCTTTCCAAAAGCAGTTAAACACAAAACATAAAGGATTCTATTGTAAAATATTAGGGAAAATTGTTGTAAAAGGAAACAATTAACTGGAATATTTTTGTCTTTTATCAATAACTTTGATTGTGATTCCAATTCGTTTGTGATTAAGTTAAAATGCCAAAGACACCAAATTTTAAGGATTACAAATCAAAGGAAGAGAAAAGTATTTCCAAGAGTAACGAATCATCTGAAGGCGAACGAAATGTTAACGAACTTCGAAACAGAGAAGATCTTCTTTGGGTTGAAAATGATTCACCCAAAGTGACCCGTCGATCGAAATTAAAAGCAGGTAATCGCCGAAGGACAACACTAGTGAACCGAAATGTTCCTGACGAATTGGCCGATATAATAGGAAAAGGCCAATGGGTCGAAGCTCCGACACCCGAGCAGATAAACCAAATTCAATCAACAACACCCGCTGCTCTTAAATACATGATTGATTTGGTTTCGTCTTTAAGTTCAGCCAAATCAACTCCACCTTCATCACCTTCCGGCTCCCCGAACTCAACAACTGATTCAACTCGAAGTAGTCCAAGTCCCGAAGTTGTCGAACAGAGAATATCCGACACTCGAAGATTATTTCTCGAGCCAGTATTAGCCGAAATGGAGGAACATCAATTAAAATTTGCTCTAATTATCCTTCTTTTCATAATCATTCTAATCCATTTGGCTGTTAGTTTACTCAACAACAACAACGACGATTAATTCAAATAATCCTAATCCTAAACTGAGATTTAAACATTTTCTAAACACCATTGTTAACCAATTATAATCTTATTGATTTTTGGTTTCATTCACAATTTAATGCAACCAACTAATTGCCAAGCACAATTGTTATCATGATTAGATTATCTTTATGGTTTTTCCATTAAAAAAGTTCTGATTCATTTAACAAAAGTTCTGAGCAATTGATCAGAGTCTAAGGTGAAATCTAATTATTAGATTTCAAAGAGATAAACTACTAATTGTTTAACATTCGATCATAACAGTTAAATGATTGAATAACAATTAACTTAATTATGACCATTGAATTTTCCTCATCGTCGATCAATAAATTGGCAAATGATCAAGAGGAAAAATTAATCTCCAATTTTCTTATGCTTTTTGTTTACAAAAAGACCAAATCGACCGCTTTGATTAAAGTGATCTTTTTCTTGGCGATTCTCCGACAAGGAGATTCGCTCTATCGTTATGCTAATTACTATCTGACCAGCGGCAATTTAGATTCAAACGTTATCCTCGTTTTGGCCTCATTGGAACATATTTACTCGTTTATTTGTATACTCGTCGTGTGCAAATGGGATTTGATTGTTGAGTTCGTCGAAATTTGGTCGAAAACTGATCTACAAGATGATTCGGAGACTCGAAATTATATTAATCGAAAAGACGAAAATTTGAATCGTGTTCATCTTATTCTGTACTTCGAGTGCAAGTATAACCGCTTTACTTAATTTCGATTTCAATCGATTTACTTATATTTCCAGTATCAAGATGTTTTATGTTTTTGTGGACAATTTAATCCAATTGATGTTGATCAGTATGATTATCGACTTTCTAAGTTTACTTTCGATTCATATTCAAGCAGTTTTTATTGCAGTCGATCGTAAATTGGGACAATTACCTAACGAAGTTGGTGCTCTGTGAAAAGCTCAGATCAATTCGACGATTACATTATTATGGCCGAGAATTGACTCGACTTGTTGACCTTTTCATATTTTATCTCATCATCGGAATCTATTGTATCATCGTACCGGTCATTTTGCTTGGACTTTACCGATTAATTTATGAGTCTGATACGATACTTGATCGGTTCACATCGTTAGGTGTCTTGGTCATCGGTATTTCGGCAACAGTTATCGTTACTTTTAGCGCTGTTGAGATAAACAATTTGGCCTCAAAGTGTTTCGATAAAGTTTACGAGCTTTCGTTTGTCAATGGATGCCCAGGCTACTACAAAGAGGTAAATTGACAATCACCAATCAAGTCAAAATCGTAAGACCAGAAAATCAGAGATTCAGTTAATCAAATAAAGATAAACTAAACTGAACTTTGATTGGTAACAATTAAGTTACTCTGTTGAAAGTTTATTATCAGATTCGACAATCGTTTAATCATTTGTTTACTTACAATTAGGTCTCACTGATGATGTACCGTATGGGTCGATATGATATTGGAATAAGTTTCGCTAATCTCTTCATCATTTCTTCATCATTTGTCACTTCACTTGCGACACTTTGTGTTACCTTTATATTGGCATTTCCGTCAACATTCAAAACTCAATAATGATTAAAAGATTATCAACAATTAGTTGATTCTCAGTGTATTCTCAAGTACCTAAACAAAGAGGCAATTACATTAAAACACAATTAAAGAAGAAAATTAAAATCAAATTATCACCATTCAAGAAATTAAAGTATTGACTTAATCCTTAATTGATCAATACATTAATCGTAAACTTAATCGTTACACTAATAGCTGATTGTTAATTTTTTGTTTTGATTAAATTGAAATTGACATCAATTTGATTTCAAGTTAATTGCTGGAAATTTAATATCACCAAATAATCACTTAGTAAACCTTATCAGAAATTGATAGAAAGCAAATATCTTGTTCATGGGCCTCGAACTTCAATCTCAGAACTTTTCGAGTTTCATTTTCTCATTGATATTTAATATTGGAACTTGATGATTTACCTTTAATTGTTTATGATTAGAAGTTCTAAAAAGAAATGACCAAAGAAATTTATTTAGATCAATTTTGTCTCAGAATGAGATCAAAATCTGAATTTGTTTATCTTCTTCTTCGGTAAAAAGACAAAGATGACCATCGTGATTAAGGTACTTGTATTGTGTTCGACAATTTTATTCGGTGGCTACGAAATTTATGCAAATTACCTGAGCTACCAGAGAAGTGGCGATCTTAATATTTATATTATAAGGCTATTTACGACCTTGTTACAAACTTTGTCCAATTTTTACATCGTCTTTGGCTGTGAATGGAAACTTATTATTCAATTTAACGAAACTTGGTCCAAAACGGGCTTGAATGATAATCTGGAAACTCGAAATTTTATCAATAGAAAAGTGAGTAAAGCTCGAATCATAATTGTCACTTACATCGTTTTCAGCTTAATTTTAGCTCCATTTGTCCAGGCCGATCTCAACGAAAACGATTGTAATAAAATTTACCAAAGTTCGTGCATCTTCCGGACTAAGCCCATTTTGAAATTTTCTCCGTCTTAATCATCTCATGTTTACTCAATTTGGTCTTCGATTTCGCCTTAAAATTGATCTTTCACGTTCAAGCGATTTTCGTTCGTGTCAACTCAATGATTGATAATCTTATCATCGAACCTGGACCTTTAGATGAGAAGATTAAATCAATTCGAAAGTTACACTGCCATGGAATTGAATTAACTCAAACTGTCGACCATTTTATCCGTTATTTTATCATCGTTACTTATTGTACTCTAATACCGATAACCTTATTAGCCTTTACCGATTAATCTATCTGAGTGTAACGATCGTCGAAATATTTGTCGCCTTATATATTTTGATTATCAGCATCACGGGTACACTAATGACCACCGTTAGTGCTATCACAATAAACAATTTGGCCTCAAAGTGTTTCGATAAAGTTTATAAAATTTCAATCGTCGAAGGACTTTCCCGATACTACGAAGAGGTAAATCATTCGTCAGCGACTTTATAGAAATAAAATTGTTCTAATAAAACATTTAGAGTTCTTGAAGATGCTAAATCATTTTCGATCAGATCATCTAATTTTTTTTTCTCTTGTACATTGAGATTAATTGATAAATCACTTGAGAAATTAAAATAGATTAATTTAATTACTTATCTCAAGTGGATTTTGATTTTACTGTCAATCAATACAATAGATTAAAGTTCATTCTTGATAATGAATCCAGAGTAAATTAATCATCATGATTAAGCTTAATTAATAAGAAAAGAAAGAAAGAAAATTTTAAACACGAAAACAAGATTAACATGCTGATGGAAGTTAATTGTTCCCAAAATAATTAACTTTCCTGGTAAGCAATTAATGGGAAAAGAGCCATTTTTAAAGGTTATCATAAACAAAGATAATAATAATTGTAACAATTAACTATTGTTTCTCTCTTCCTATTATTAATAATTAGGTCTCATTGATGATATATCGAATGGGTCGATATGATATTGGAATAACTTTCGCTAATCTCTTCATAATCTCCTCATCATTTGTCACTTCGCTTGCGACTCTTTGTGTTACCTTTATATTGGCATTTCCTTCATTAACTTTCCCATCCAGATAATAAAGTAACAATCAGAGATAATTTTTTTTTTCTTTGATAATAAATTAATAGCTAAATAATGTATATCAAATCAGCTTATGTTAGTATTAAAATCCAATCAAGAATCAAGAGTTGTTGATTGACAATTTGTTCTCGGTGTAATAATAATATTCAGGACATTTATAGATTAACACTTAAGCCATTAGAAACTAATACATATAAGATAAATAAACAAGTTTCTATCGCTTATTACCTGGCATCTTAAATATCAATGGATATAAAATGTTATCAAAAAGAGCAGAAAAAAGGAAATCATAACGATATAATTAAAACTATGAGAGGAGATTGAAAAAACTATTAATATAATAATATAATATTTTGATACGAGAGAGGAGGAGTTGGATAAGAGAGATCAGATCAAATTCAACAAGGAGAGAGAGAGAGAGAGAGAGAGAGAGAGAGAGAGAGAGAGAGAAATGAATCAATGTATTGTAACAATTAATGAATTTACCTTCGATGTTGCAAATGGAGGAGAGTTAATTGAGAGATAAGGATAAAGACAAAGTGAGAGAGTGAGAGCATTTACATGTAGATGTTAAAGGTGGAGTAATTGTTGAGAGAGAATGAGAGTGAGATATGTTATTATTATGGAGTAGTAATGAGTGAGGGAGAAATAAAGACCAGAAAAAAATGATAGAGGGAGAAATGTAAGAGACTATGAAAAGGGAGAGTGAGAATGAAGATAATGAAGAGAGAGAGAGAGAGAGTCAATCAAACCTGGAAAAATGTCTGATGATGTGCTGACAATGTTTTTTATTCATCATCACCAATTATAATTAATGTGTAAATACAATTACAATTAAGTTTCTAGAATTGATTTCCTTTGTTTTTCCTTCTTCAAAGTAATAAACATCCAGTTTTTATCAGCAATTAGTTAACTGTTATTGCGTCTTCTTCCAATGTATCAATTTTTGTTTTCATTTTGATTAATGTGGTTCGTTAAATGATTAAAACGATAATTGATTTATAGTTGCTAATCATAACAAGTCACCACTGTACCATCATTATTGCCGAGAATAGAATTTCAATTAGAAGAGAATCACATTAATCGAAAATGGACCAAGAAATAGCTGGACCTTCGTCGTCATCATTACCTCCCTTTTCCTCACTTTGTTCATCCAGTGTCGAGAGTTTACTTAATGCTCTTTTCCCTGATGATGAAACACTCAAAGATCACCTTAATTACCCGGAAACGCTGCCAACTAATGAAGGTGGTGATCATAATATGGATGATCGATATGATTTCAATCAATTTTTGGATACGAACGTTGGATTTCATGAGCAGCCAACACAATTTTCACCTCCATTTTATAACAATCAAGGTTATGATGCTTATCCATCAAATTCAATGATCGATACCTTAGATCAACTTTTGGCCTCAACTTTTGTCGCCAGTTCACCAACCACATCTTCGTCTCCTTGTTTCTCTTCTTATACTTCCTCAATAGCCAATTCACCGGTTTCATATTCACCATCAACATCACGACCTTCATCATATCAACCTGAGAGTAATTTTCCACAGATTCAACCAGCTTATTCTCAATCTAACGATAATCAGGCCAATTTTTCAGCTCCTACGAGTACAGAATTTAGACCAGCAATCAAAGTGAATACACCTCATTCGAAAACCAATGAACCTTGGAAAGCGAGTGTTGCAAAGAAAATTCTAGAAGCTTATTATTCACCATTAAGTCTTAAATCAGAATTCTTGGCTACTCAAATAGCTTTAGATGAATTCCAATCGTTGGCAATTAAAGAGGCGGTGGCCGCTTTCCATGACGTCGCTCTGTGTACCACAAGTATCGGGCCTGATGTTTGTACCGCTAAATTTGTCAATACCTGTTCCAAAGTCCGGGCCTACAGGAGGTTACACATTGAAGATAAGGTTACCCTGTTAACCAATGTCTTTTTTGATACAATCGCCATGAAGAGTATCATCACCTACGATCATCTAACCGATAGTTGGAACGTGAGTGTTAACATTTATTTTCATTTCTATTTTCCTTTGTAACTCTTAGGCCAATTAGTTAACAAGTTCTGATATGAAGAGAAGTGGAAAGATAAATATCACTAATTATAGTCATTAATTAGACCGAGAGAGATTAAAATGTTTACTTTACCTTTTGTTTCTTGACAATATTTAAGGCCTCAGGTAAAAAAGTTGATAGGAGGGAAATTTACCGATTGGATCCAATTCTACATGATAATATTGTCAATATTATCCAAACGTATCCTGACCGATGGAGAAATGACCTTACAGCGGCAGCGATAATTTATTTAATCGTCATTTTTAATCCTGATTTGCCAAATTTAAAATTCAGCGACTCTATTAGGTGAGTAAAATATAAACAAGGAACAAAATTGTTGTTGTTGTTGTGAGAATTGATAGTTAATAGCAATTAAAGGGATTTAATTAGGTTTACAAAGCGTAAGAAGTGGTAAAACCAAAGAGTAATCAGTAAACTAAATTGTTAACAATTAGTAACATTGTATTAACTTTAACTCTTAAAAGTAAAGGAAAATGTATAAACACAATTCAACCAAAGAGTATCTTTTACCTTTAAAAAAAAGGTTTAATTGTTTAACTCAAATTGAAGGTGAAGAAAGTGAATATAATTAATATTGATCACGAAGAGCAATTTAAAATAAAACACAATTGACTAATTGTAAGAAAAGAAAAGTTGATTAATGAGTAAAAAACACTTACAGGTAAACGTATCCATCCAAAAAGCTTAGACTGAGACAACAAATACACGATTGAAGTTTAAGTGAACCATTTAATTGATCTGATTAGAAAATTTAATTTAATTGTTTAGACAAAATAGAAAATAATCAATAAAACTAATTCATTTCAAACAATTACCAAAGAGATTAATCTGCCCCTTGTGGGATAATCGAGACTCTAAGGCGATCAGTTTTGTTTTGCTTTCGTTGTGGTTGCTGTTTGGTTAACTAAATTGATTCAGTTTTCTTTTACCTTAAAGTTTGTTGATTAATTTACTTTTCTCTCTCTCTCTTTTTGTTCTTTTAGATGTGAACAATATGGTTACATTTATCTTTAAAAGATACCTGGAAGTTGCCTGTGAATCGCCTTGTGATGCTTCCGATTATCTTTACCGTTTGATGTAAAATTGAAGAGATCCAATCGTTAAGGAAACAAATGATTGCCCTTCTTGATTCCGTTCACATTGGACTTGCCTTGCCGATAAAAAATCTAATCATCACCATGGTTAAATGATACAAACGTAAGTTGCAAACAATTAAATCTCACCTTTGATGTTTGACCTGTTTAGGTTCGGTGGCAGTTTAACTGTTCTACTTAAGGTGTCAATCGTTTTTTTCTATTACTTCTCTTATAGATCTTCATGTTATTTTTTTTTCTCTTTGTCTATTTATAGGATTATTACGTTATTACATTTTTCTCACGTATTTTTTGGCCTTTGATCGCTTTTGAATTGTGGTACTTGGGCGATTTTGTCTGTCTATCTGTCTCTCTCTTTTCTACAGTCAAGATGGTTGAATCCATGGAAAACAAAACAGGACAAATTATATGATCGATTCAAACAGAGATCTTTATTCCAGGTTAAATGGTGACACAATCAACTTTCTCTCTTTCTCCGACCCGAAGTCAAAGTGATCTTTTCTTTCTTCTATCCATTGCACCTCTAAATAGACTCTAATTATACTTAGTAAATTTCACCTGTATTAAAGCTGATTGATTGGAATGATGTTCATATTGTCACCAAACTTTTCCCTCTGATTATCAACAAACTCTCAAACTGCTAGAACGATTAATTGTAATAAGCTGATCTCCTTTGGATAAGTGACAATCTAATCACTTACCGTATGTCTGGAACAACTTTAAACAATCTAAATTGCGACTGTTAATTATGTGTATTTTACTCCTCTCTGGTTTACCATGTTTACTTCTTGTCAATCAAACAAAGAAACAATTAAAACAATTACAATTTCATCAACATCAGAGTGTCACATTATCTTAAATTGTGTTCTTATTATTGTCAATAGTAGACCTACGATTGAATTTTGCTTCTCAATCTCAATGGAGATTATCACAATTAATATTTCCATGTGAGTTTACTGGGTGGAGATTAATTGATTTCCAATGAATTTCTATTCATTATATTGATAATCAATTAATTATGAACCAAGAATTGACATCAATTAGATTTGATTGCCTTCCAAATATCAAAAATGTATTCTAACAATACAAAAGACAATACATTTAATTTGAATTATTCTGGTTCATTAAATTGGTTGAAAAGTTAATCGCCCTGATATTAGAAACTAATTAATCCACTTTTAATTGTCTCAAATCTCAATAACAATTAAATATTTATACATAAAATGTCAAATCAATTGATCATTTCATATATTTTTTAGCTTCTCTTTTTTTTGAGTGATTTTTAAATAATCAGATATAATCAAATCATGATAACTCAAATCAATCAATTGTCTCACTGAAATTGTACAAAAGCTAAATAGATGAAAATCAAATGATTAATAAACACAATAGAAAAGGTTTTTAATTGTTCTCACTAAAAAACTGTCACAATAATAAATAAACAACAATCATCACAAAACTAATTTGAATGTTAATGGTGGAAAATCAGATTAATACATGTCAATCTGTCTCTGAAGAGCTTCAATCATCAGGAAATTTATACACAAATAAATAATTAACCTTAATTGTTGAAAATCAATCAGAATTAAAAATTAGGTGGAGAAAAAGTCTCATATCAATAACTCATTAGCGCTTAGCAACAAGACAAAGAGCTTAGGCCTAACTCAATGATTTGCATTTACAGAAAACCATCAATCACAATTAAACAATCGAGAGAGAGAGAAAGAAAGCAACACATTAATCAAATATCAGCTAATTAATGAAGACAATTAATTACAATTGAAAGAAGAGATGAAAATTCAATCTACTCACCCAATTAATTGAACAAAAACACAATGAGAATGATGAATATCCATTGACTTGTTGTCGTTTCTTTCACTTGTTGTCACTTGTTATTTGTAAAGGAACAAAATTGAAAAGATTTTTAGATTAATTATTGATTGGAAAGTAATTCAAACAATTAACAATTAAATACGAAATAATTGATTAGTCAAATAAGAATAAATTTATTCGTTCATCCAAATCAATCAGCTTCCATTAGAAAATTGAACCAGTTTGAACAAACCTCCAATTCTTTTCTCTGTCTACACTTTTTTCTCCTCTTTCGCATTTTCTTTTTTCCCTCTCGATTTGATTTTTAATTTTCTCTTTTCAATAGTTGGCAACATGTTCTCATGGAAAAAACAAAATCTCTTCCAATTTAAATTACAATTATAATTAATTTTATTCTATTCTTTTCCAACAATCAGTTGTTTAAATTAATCATCAACAAAACGATGATGATTAAAGTTTTTTCCTCATTTTTTCTCACTCACTCGTTTGCAAGGCTAATAAGTCGTCGCCTTGATTAACATCAGCTCAATATAAACAGTAAACATTTTGTTGTTTGCTAAGGAACAACTCACATCTTAACAACAGTTTTCTTTTGTGATTCATTTTAATTTAATTAAATCAGGTAATTAATTAACTTCATGTGTACCTTTCCTGGTTAACTTCCACTTCTGTGTGTTGCTAATAAATCAGAGAGTAAAACTCTTACTCTTTGAATGAAATTCTATTCTCTTCTTCTTCCATTTTCTTTAATCACTTTTTTGTTCTTTTCTTTTCTCTTGACCAGGTTTGTTCTTTTTACTTTCCACCATTTTGGATGCTAATTTAATTCCATCAACATTATATATTAATTTCTTCGTCTTTTCTTTTTTTTTGTGTGTGTGTATTTGCCTGTTTGTCTCTGTAATTTCCAGTTTAATCAAATATGAAACAAAGAAAAACTATAAGTGAAGAAGTCGTTGACCTTCGAATGTGGTTTGATGAGGAATATGATGATGATCCTGGAATTTGTGAACAAGTTGATTATAAGAAGGTGATGAACAATGATTGGGCTGTTAAACGATTCATTTTGGCAAACGAGAATGGACCAGTTAAAGGATTGGAGAGTTTAAAACAATTTCTTTCTTGGAAGAAAGAAAATCGTGTCAACAAATTTAATCCATTGGAAATACCTCGTGAAATTTATAATCTATCACCAGTTTTCAAGTTTCTACCTGATTATCGAGAAAATAATGTCCTCTACATTCGTGGTAACATTTTAATGAAACTAACCGATTTAACTAATATCATTCGAAATCTTCTTATTTACAATATTGATCAGATTGACAGTTGTAGTGAACGTGTTGCCTCTTGGGGTTTAGTGGTTGATATCTCTGGTTCTGATTATTCACAGATCAATGCATCCTGGTTACAAGAAGCAAACACCATCATCTCAACATATTATCCTCTTGGATTACGATACATGCTGATTTACGGTGCATCAATTATGGTTAGAATGTTTGGTCGAATGATGACCAGTCTTGGTGGTTTACAATTTGTTGATTCGAAAACTATTCTAGACTTTATTCCAGCCGCTAATTTACCCGATTTCCTTGGTACAAGTATCTTTTCTAAGCAAAACTATCGACGAATCCCCAAGGATGCAAAGCCCATGAAAGAGATGAAACTAAGCCTTGACGAAACTGAAATTCGAAACATTTTGGAAAATTTAAAACCTTACCTTGTTGACGAGTCGAAATGTACCATCGTTGACACTTATTAAATGCCACAACATTTTGGACTAAACCACTTTCCCCATCGCCATGACCTGTTAAAATCTTATATATAACCAGAATATCTCAAGAAAAGGCCAATCAATCGAATGGTTCTTGGATCCAATTACTCCACTAAATCTTGTTCAATATTAACCATCGAACTGATTAACTGAATCTAAATTCACATCAAAACGTAACAAGAAGACAACTAATTATCAAACTTTGATGACGAAAAAAAATGCCATCAATATCGTCGTGAGCACAAATCACAATCTTAACTCCAACGGTTGTTACAAGGATTATCCCTAATCCATTTAATTTCAATATCCAATTATCTTAACCAATTAACTATTTTAAATTTATTCTTAACCTTTTATTAACCAAAAACAAAATCAGTATTAATATTGTAATCATATTATTATCTTAATTGTTACCCACTAATCAATACATACAATTTGATTGAACCATTTATCCTAATATTATGTATACAAAAAAACTGCAATATAATATTATCCTATTAATATGCAGAAAAATATTAACCTTAACGTTGATTGTTGGTATTTAATCAAAAACGAAAGTTGTTGATTTGATTGAGTTGTATTAACTTAATCAATTTTTACCGGAAAATGAAAGATGATGATTTAGACCGAGAGTTAAGTGAAGCATAACAATTAACCAATTAATGAGCAAAACAATTAGCTTGTTAACCGAATCATTAACTGTTATGTAAAAGGAAACAATCAAAAAAAATTAACTATTTCAATTCAGAATCTAATCAAATATATAACAACAATTAACCAGAATAAGACAAACTTACCCAAGTTAAATTGTTAATTATTGTTAACAACTTATTCAATTGTTCAACAATTAACTAATCACGAAGCTTGATGAACAAAAATCAATTTAAATTTCAAAACAATGTAACAAATTTAATTAAATGTCAACAATTTGATTTGGAAATCATTTGAAATTTTGATCAGAGAATCAATTAATTGCCAGCTAATTGTTTGTTGTTACTTTTGATTAGTTTATTATTACAATGAAAGATCAATCCAATTGTAATTAAAATGTTTTTTCCTTCATTAAATCAAGTTGATTATCTAAAAAATTAATGATTGATATGAAATAATTATCACGGTTGATTGTTGATTAATCTGAATACAATTAACTGTCGGGATTAAGTTTAACCAAATCAAAGTAACTTAACTTTGTCTGTTAATTGTTGATCATAAATCAAAAATTAATCACTTTCACTTAAATCTTTCATTGTGACAGATTAATTTGAATAATACAATTAGTGTTTACAATTAACTTACCTTTCGACAACAATTAACTTTGGTCAAATGTTTTAATGGTGAAAAAAGTTATTAACAAGAAAATTAACTTTTCCAAAACTTGTAATCAGTTAATTGTTATGTAATTATGGTTAGAATTTAATATTTTCATCATGAAAATTTAATTTAATTCAATTGAATTAATAATAATGAAAAAATTCCATCGATTGGTTTTACCTTTGAGATAAATTATTTTAATTGTTGTGACTCAAAAATCCCAGAACAGCAATTTAAATAATCATCTTGATCACCTTAATGATTAGTGATAATGATAATAAACTAATTGTGATTAAATTTTGATATGCTGATCAACAAGAAAGTTTCACAACTTGTTAAATCATAATAATAGTAATTAGTTGATTGTTATACTCAGGGTGTTAATTGTTTGCATTTGATTTCATCGTCGTTAATGATATTAGTTAAATTTAATTTTTTTTTCGTCTTTTTTTCCTGCTATCAACTAATTGTGACAATTAAACTCAAATTGGTTCTAAAACGGAAAAGTTAATTACTAACAAACTTAATGAATGATTAACCAGAATAATAAAAAAAAGGTCATGATAATTTCACAATTCATTCAAATTAACTAAACAAACATTTCGTCATCGAGATGATCAATAATTGATTTAAATTTGATACAATTTACTTTCACTCTAACCTGATTGATCAGTGATTCAATTGTTGATCATTAAGTTAATTAACTTTCAATTTAGTTTTCCTCAAGAAATTAATGTTAGCAAGTTGATTGCTACTCTCAGTAGATGGAGCCATTTGTTGCGTTGTTAACACTCAATCAATTGATTGCAATTAGTTTTAATTTGATTTGGAAAAGTTTGATTAACAATTAAGAGATGTAAAAATAAACACTGAATTTCCCAGAAATGAATGAATAAATTTGAGTGACTTAATCACTTATAATCATGAGGAGACTTTAAATATGATGAAAGGAAAACCATTCAATTGAATAATCAACTGTTCAACTAAATTGTTAACTAATCGATGATCAAATTAGCAACAATAAAAAGCACCAACTTAGCAATTTGTCTAACAATCAAAGTATATCATGTTGATAATGTTCAATTCCAATTACCAAGCAATTAATAGTGATGAAGAAAAAAAAAGATGAACATGTTTGGTTATTTGATTAAGTGTTCAATCAAAAACTGATTAACTTGGTACAAATTGTTAATAATAATAACAATTTAGCGACAACAATCAACAGATAATCATAGGAATAGTAACAACAAAAGGTAGCAAATACGAAAAAAAATCAAATTATTGATCAAATTGTTAACTTAAATCATGATGATGAAAAAAACGAGCAAAACAAAACAAACAATCAAAAAGTTTTTATCAACAATTTAAACTGAAAAAAATGATTAGCAAACAATTTAATGATAACATGGATGATGATTAAAGGAGCTTGTTTAATGGACCAGTTAATATGAAGGGTTATCACCATTGATTGTTAGTAAATCATCAGGATAAATCAGTCACGTAAATGATGATAATGAAACTAATAAGATAAAATATCCTATTTAATCATCAACAATCAACGATCAACAATCAACAATCAAAGAAAAAAAAGTTTTCACCTTTACACTAAACCATAAACTAACACGCTACAAAAGTGAAAAGATAATCACAATTTAGCTAATTTCATTCACTATTAATTTAATTGGCCAGAAATTTGTATTTATCAATGAATCACAATCAAGTTAATATTCATAAATTGTAACGATTTATTTTAATCATGGAATAGAAAAACTTTGATTACCTTTGATTATTTAAAATGACGATGATAATAATAAGGTGAGATATTTGATTTAATTTGTATTATCATTTATTAGTTTTAATTTTAAACGAGAATTGAATAATTTAATTCAACAATCAATTGAAATACAATTTGATTCGGACAATTATCCAAATGTAGTTACTATTTGATTAAGGGCCATTAACATGGGCCAGTAATTGACTTAAATTGTTTACTTTTTTTTCACCCAACCGCAAATCCAAATTTGATGATTAATCTATTAAATTGTTATCA